TCACTGTACACATGGTGGCAGAGTTACCCTAAAAAAAGGAAACCAAAAGACTCAGAGAGCCTGACTAAAGGAAGGCCAGCTAGAGGGTCATAGTGTCTCTAGGAGAAAATACTAGTAGGCAGCCTGCTAAATAGTTTGTATAAGCATAGGAGTGATAGAATAAGTTAAATGAAGTCTAGCTGAAACTTCTTAAAGAGAATGACATTTGGACAGTCATTTCCCAGGTCTGAGCCAGTTTACTGACCTAAAAGCCACATAGAATGAACATCAGAGCCACTTGAGGAAGAACACTGCTACCCTCCCCAAAATTCATATTATTTAACTGCCTGTTTTTCCTCAAGACATTTGTAAAAGGATCTGCCAGAACTTATCAAGGTGACTGTGTTGAGAAATAATCAGTGATCAGACCATTGGTTATTCTTGAATATGATCTCTGATGGTAATTGCTGGAAATCTAGGATGCAGGAACAATGTGACTTCCAGAGTGAGGAATCAGGAGCTGATGTCCTTCTAACAGTGTGTCCCTTATCACATTACATGATTATGACCCTAGTTAAAGAACACCAGATTAAAATATCATGAGGACATCCCCATATTGGGGTGATTCAGCATGTTCAATCTTCCAGCAAAGCAGTTGTTAAACCTACTAAAATTAACATATTTTTTTTTCTTATCCTCCCTTCTTCTTTCCCTCCCTCCTTCTTCCTTCCTTCCATTATTCCTTCTTTTCTTCTTTCCTAACAAGTATCTCATGATCACAGACTGACCTCAAATTCATAAACAGCTACAGATGACTTTGAACTTCTGATTCCCTGCTTCCTCCTCTGGTGTACTGTGCTAAACCTGTCTGCTTCTGGAGATGATTGATCGAGGGCTTTGTGCACTAGGTGAGCACTCTACCAATGGGGCTCCTTTCTCAGCCCATAAAGTTATTTTATTTATGTACTATGTCTATGTTCTATTTATATTTGTTAAGGACCCTGACTGCTGGTCCTTAATACTTTGCCCCTTAGTTAATAACATTCATTGTTACATATTCCTTGAGAAAAGCTAAAAGTATGTGTTACTTTACTTTATACTACATAAGATTTATGGGACAAAAGTAAAAATGAGGTAATGGATGTTTCTATAAAAGAACTTGGGTTATAGTCAATAAATATAAATATCCACAAGTATGAAATCTGACATACATGTGTATCATTTATAGAGATGGGTACAGGGTGGATAGATAACATAGATACATAGATAGCCATGTTCCACATATCAGTGTTTCAGTCACCAAAGGACTATTTATATAAGGAATACTCTACAGCAATAAATTTCTTTCTGAAAATGAAGCTACCCTAGTTTGTCTTCACACGCACTGTCATATTTACACCATGATCTAGATTTTCATTAGGAAACACTTCTCAGCACTTCATTTCTTGCTCCTTGTGCATGATGTGAACCCTACATTAAATTCTTACTTGTCTGTGTAAGAGGTCAAGTTAACCGAAATCTTACTGACATTATGTAGATACATACTACAGAAATATCACAACTTCTTTAAATTAGTAAGTATTTAAACCACAAGCTATATCCTATATTTTGCCGAAAACTCCCATATTGGGGATACAAACATATGGAGGAGCTAGAAGTACTTTTGGTTTTTTTGAAAAAAAAAATGAACTGAGCATCAACAGTTGATGAGACTTGGGATTTAGAGTCATGTTTCTAACACATTTCTTTTTTATGGCTAGTACCAATAAAAGAATTATGAATATTGCTTTCTTAGGAAGGTGAATAAAAGTCTTAACCAATGTGATATTTTAAAAATCTTAAAGTATCTGTTGAGTTTTGTTTTGTGGCCAGGCCCTCTGAATGGGTAAGACAGTTGATTGGCTTGATCTGTTTGGGAGGCATTCAGGCTGTGGGACTGGGTCCTGTGCTCATTGCATGAGTTGGCTGTTTGAAACCTGGGGCCTATGCAGGGTCGCTTGGCTCGGCCTGGAGGGAGGGGACTGGACCTGCCTGGACTGAGTCTACCAGGTTGATCTCAGTCCTTGGGGGAGGCTTTGCCCTGGAGGAGGTGGGAATGGGGGGTGGGCTGGGGGGTAGGGTGGGGGGAAGGTGAGGGGGGCGGGAGGGGGGAGAACAAGGGAATCCGTGGCTGATATGTAGAACTGAATTTTATTGCAAAATTAAAAAAAAGAAAAAAAATCTTAAAGTATTATTAAGTATTACTGTACCTGTACGCAAACTAAATTACAGCTCAGACAGGGCCCAGAAAGATCAGGTTTATTATTCAGGTTAGAAGAAATATAAGCAGAATACTTGCTTCTAAATCATGTACATTATTGGCATCATTATAACTAATAATAACCAGGAAAATAATGCATCCAGATTGGATATTGCATTTTTTAGTAGACAGCAAGGCTTCCACTTAATAATCATTTATATTTACAGTGAAGGAGTGCAGAGTTTTCAAACAGTATCTCATTAATCATGTCAGCCAGTTACTTGGAAAGTTATTATCCCAGTTCAATAGATAGAAAAATTATATCATGGAAAGGTCAGTTACATATTTACTTGTCCAATCTTGGCAAAGCAAGGGGAGTCAGTTTCAAATATGTGACCTCTTTTCACCCTTTGGTCTAACCACTGGACCAGTGTAAGACTGGTCCGTGCAGTAGGTAGCTGTCAACTTAAAATAGTCCATGGCTGACCTCTCTGCTCTTACTTCTACAGATCTATAAACACAGAAAGAAATATCAATTTTTCTTCTATCACATCAACAAAAGAGAAGATGTAGGAATTATTAATTTCAATTTCCTTTTCCTCCTGTCTTTTGTAAATTCTTGTCAATTGTTGGTGCCAAAACTGCACAGATCAAACTGTTTATTAGTGACATCATCATAATCAAATTTAGGATATGAAAAGATGAATTTGAGAGTTTTAATTGAACATGAGTACATTTAACACATTTGTTAAATCAGTAAGGAAGGCAATAAGTCAACTTTTTAACAGTTTTCAACACTTCAAACATGTTGCAGTAATGCTGATTTGAGAAAGAAGAGAGGAATGAGAAAATAAGACATTAAAATATTATTCTTTTTTTATTTTACTTCAATCTGATTCCTCTAATAACTTTCCATTATAAAAACAAGCAAGTAAACAAGATTGTTACTCCTTTAAGGTAAAAGTAGACATTGAAAATGAATTGGTGGCAGTTGCCTTCCCTGAATAATGATAACTGTTGGTATTATGTAAGTAATATTGACATGGTTGAGCTTTCAACTTCAAAATCCCCCTAATGAAATAATGTATAACTCTCTATACTTCTATATGCAATATGTATTTTACTGAGAATCTAAAGAAATATCTCTCTTAAGCAAGTAGTTTATATTCACCTGATTTGAACAAAAACATTTGTCCATCCTTTAATTCAGTGAGATTTGAAGATCCCAAACATTGGAATATTATGTGGAAGTGAGCATTATAAATTTATGTGGAAGTTTTAAAGCTGTAGCTACGTTCTCTTTTCATATGATTATACGGACAAGACAATTAAAGAAAAGCAAAGTAAGAATTAATAAGATGGCCTTTATGTCTAGGGTTAATGAGTATATCTTTGCCACTTGCCCTGACATCTGGAAAAGGAGAGAAGGAAGAAAACTGTGTCAAAGCATAAGAAATGCCACTTACAAGGTGGTAGTAAGCAGTATTCAAATTTCAGACTACTGTGGGACAGAGAAGAACAACCAAAGGACATCAAAGGTACTCCCATGACTTAGAATTCTATTCAATATTTTCCTGTAATACTTAAGGTGAAGAAAAATCCCATAAACTCAGGAAGTTAGTAAAGAACTAGTTATACATATTCAAAAGAAAAATTGGCATTATTCTAATATAGGCATATATATTATGTTTCAGCAACATGTATAAGAGAGTATAAATGTTTAAGTATATATGGATCATTAAAGAGAGTATTTCAGAATTATTTTAATGCTTATATTGAAGAACATTATTTATATCTTACTAAAATATTCCTATGTATAAAATAATGCCATAAAATGAAATCACTGTATTATGTATTGAAAAATTCATTATTTGGGGTTTGTATTCAATGTTTTCCCTTTAGTCATGTTTATAGTTTTTGGATAATATATGTCTAAATAGTTTTTAAATTTACAGTATTTTCATAACTTTTAAAATGGTTTATCAGCTTTGCTGTTACTTCACTTCTAAATTTTATGTTGATATTTTTGGTTGTGAGCCTAGCCTTTAACGGCTGAGCCAGAGGAGGGGACTAGACCTACCTGGACTGAGTCTACCAGGTTGACCTCAGTCTGTGGGGAAGGCTTTGCCCTGGAGGAGATGGGAATGGGGGGGGGCGTTGGGGGGAAGGTGAGGGGGACGGGAGGGGGGAGAACAAGGGAATCCGTGACCGATATGTAGAACTGAATTGTATTGCAAAATAAATTAAAATAAATTAAAAAAAAATTTTATGTTGATAAATACTACAACAGGGCCAATGAGACGCCTCAGTGGGCAAAAGCACTCACACCAAGCCTGAAGACCTGGCCTGATTCCTCCATCCTACATGATAGAAGAAGAGTACCAACTCCTGAAAATCATTATCTGGACTCCACATGTGTATCATTCCATGCACGCATATGCAATATATTTATATATATATAAACATAAGTAAAAGTATTGTTAAAAATAAACATCCTAATGCATATGATGCAATCAAACATCTTTCTTCAAAAGACTAATCTCTCAACTGCAGAATTTATTTAGATTTTATTTCTGTGTAGTGAAACATTATTTTAAACTTTTAGCAGGGTTTTTCTTTTTTTTTTTTTTTTTTTGTTTTTTGAGACAGGGTTTCTCTGTGTAGCTTTGTGCCTTTCCTGGAACTCGAACTCACAGAGATCCGCCTGCCTCTGCCTCCCGAGTGCTGGGATTAAAGGCGTGTGCCACCACCACCACCCCCACCCCCCCGCCTTTAGCAGGGTTTTAAGGGTGAATTGGGTACTATGCAGGAACTACTCATTTGAAAACCAGTGATTCTGATACCATAGAAAATACTGTGATTTTTATCAACCTTCCTCAACCCCTCCTTAATATTTCAATGGCTTATGGAGAGCATGAGAAAAATAGCCTCATAATTTCTCTCCCTTTTAAGAATATTGAGATTTTATTAAACTGACTGGATGAATTATGACTCTTCTAGTACTGTAGAAAGCAATTTTAATTTTTAAAAGGTATTCAACATCACTTCACATATTTCCCTAACCAAAAGAAATACTAACGTTCCATAATCCCTAATGCTTGGTAACACCCAAGGTGCCACACTACCCTTGATTTACTGAATCACAGAACTCCAGAGACATGAGCAGTCAGATGAGTCACCAATGCTGATGTTGCCAAACAACCTCTAAAGCACAGTGTTGTCTATGAAGGCAAATTTGAGGATAGAGATGATATGCTTCATCCAATATAGAAAAAAAATTAGCACTAAGAAAAATAATGGAATTATGTAAGTTAGTGTATTAAATGAAATCTATATATTCTTAAGTCCTTAGAATTCTCAGCTTGGATTCTTAGAGCACAACCCATGCTTCAAACCATGTCTTCAGATTCTGTATCCAGAGAATTCTAGAAAAAAACTGAACCATTTTAGTCAGTTAAAAAAAATCTTTCTTGAATTTGTCATGTCAGATCTTGTTGGCAGCTGTCACTCCTAACAAGTACCAGTTTCAAATTCTAACGAAAACACCATTCACAAAGAGATTTTAATTGGATCAAGTCAGACAATCGATATTTTTAAAAGGCATCATACTTTAAGTGCTTTCAAAATAAGTAGCTACTTGGCAGAATGTAAGATACAAGCACAGGTATATATACCTGGATGTGTGGATGCTCATCATGCCCATGTACGGCATATATATTTTCTCCCAAATGGGAGGATTGTATGACCACTCACCTGAGCAGCCGATTTTTAATAATTCAATGTGCTCTTTATTATTCCTTTTCTCATAGCCAAAGGAATAAAAATAGCTCGGTTTCTCCTGTATGTCTCATCTTTCTGGACTTAATTCTGTACATGACTCCAGAGATTTTACAAAATTTACTGGATTGAAGATTGCTTTGACTTGGGAAATCCTATGATAGTGGAATACAATATGAGTGATAGATCAAAGAAAAAGAATTAGTTAATTCCCTGTCACAATAAAATGCCAATATATCATAGAGATTCAAGTTTGACTTCATTAAATGCTTTTATAAAAATAGATTATGTGATTACTTAAAAACAATATTTCTAACAAACCTTAGTAATTCTAACACCATATTATTTTCATTGATATTGAAAGTAGTCATTAACTCTAATGTAACATATATTTCCCATTTTTTCATATCATCTGTCTTCTACAAATGCATATATATCTATAAAAAGACATATGAATACACTGATGCATACATGTACAATTCTTATATAAACACACATATACACAAATATTGTGCATATGACTGCACAATATATAGCTTCAATTATAATAGTTCACCCTGACATAATTTAATTCATCAAAATAAGAGTTGTATGTTCTACAACTATTTCAGTAAGTGGTTAATGAGACAACGACACTGGCCCAGTTCACCTAAGAACCCTCTTTCAATATGTATTAAAAACTTCCTGTTCTTGGAAATCAATTTAGCAACCTAAAAAAGCCAACTTCTAAAGTGCCAAAAGGAGATAACATTACTTCCTAAGTCAATAGTTTGCACTTGACATAATACCATCAATTATGTCTATACAAATTGTTAGCTGGAGCCTATACCATCTTGCTGCACAGTCATGAGAGACAAGAATAAACTATCTATGTTACATACTTATTTCAAAATGTGTAATTAAAATAACAAAAATATGGAAAATAAACAGTTAAGTTGTCATACATACTGACATTCTCCTTAATGGTAGCACTGTTAGCATTATGGGATGGATGCTTCAAGATAAACTTTTAGGACTTCACATTTTAAGCTCTTTTCATGAAGAATCTTGGAGACTTTTTTCATTGTCTTTCATGCTTCAACAATGGCACTACTTTAAAATGTGAAAGACGAACTAGAAATTATTTCCATTTTCCTTCATTCACATAGGCTAATTTTGTAAATGTCATTATTTCTATCAGTTGAAAAAGAAAACCTTAGAAGAACCATATATTGGAAGGTTTGTTCTTTAATATACCTAGGGGTGAAATGGTATAAAGAATGATGCATATGCAGTCATCATCTCTGTGATATGATTAATGAGAAGAAGTTGCATAAGATTTCACAAGCTAGTTTGGAAAGTAAGGATTGAAGCTGCCTCTGGTTTTAGTAACATCTTCCTAAGTTTTAGGTGAATGTCATCAGCTTTGAGTTCATTTTGTTTAGTCCTTCCAAAGACAGGCAAATTCGATGACTGCTCAATCAAGTACACTGATTTATTCAAGATGGTGACAGATACATGTAAGCTTCTCATACTTATTCCATTAATCATATTCATCACTCACATCTATCTACTGAATTCTTCTTTTATAGATGTGAGAAATTTTTACTGCCTATGCAATTAAAATATTGTCTTTCAATTTATTAGTCTGATATTTGCATATGAATTGTTTAAAGCTGCCCCTTGCAAAGCACACAGGGAAACATATTGAAGATGATATTTTCTGAGTGGCTGCTCACAGTTCCCATCTTATGAGAGAGCATAACAGTTTCATGTTACTATTAACCAGATTAAGTGGGTATTTCAGCTATGTATAGTTTATGACAACTAAATGTATCACAGTTTAGTTGAATGAATCTTCCATTGAATACCTTCTTTTTCAAGGCATTGTCTTAGAAATTTAACAATCACTGCAATGTGTTCTAGTGAAATCCTTACTGCTTTGATAGTTTCTTATGTTTTTTTTTTTAAATCACAAAATGGTATTATAAACATACAAATAATTGTTCAGAATCTATACTGCTAATATTATGAATTATGTAAACAGTGCCAGACTCAAGACAGAATACAGTAATTGCTAAAATATCAATTTGGGAAAATAGTTGCCTCATTTCCTGGCTCTGTTTCATAGAGTACCTTTCTATAAAGGACATTCTCTTAACAGCAGAACATTTTGTGACAAAGAGGAGATGCTGAGGACCTCCCTAATTGTCATTTCCTAATTTAAAAAAAAATCTGTCTATTACTAATATCTAAATATGCTATCCAAAATAAGAGTGATGTCTGCGTTATTGAGATATACTTGTTTCTGAATAAAATGATGCTTTTTTAAAGTTTAACTTACTTAAGTTTTTTTCCTTGGCCCATAGAAGGCAATGTTGGGAAAGATATATAGCCAACCATCTCCCAAGTTCCAGGATGAAGAGTTTTCATCCCTAGTAGCTGCTACTTGACTCAACAGTATCATTACAATGTTTTATATGCTACTTGCTGACCAATGTTTCAATAATCAATCCTGCCAGTTCACTTTCATAGCTACACAGTCCTCTGCTCAGCAAATATGGTATTCTGTGTTTTCAATTACATTTTTATGAGATAAAAGATCTTTTATTTCACATCACAGTAGAGTCCAGGAATTTTGAAAGAAAATATCTGTAATTTCACATCTCTGGAAAAAATTCTAGGACACCTGTTGTCTAGTCCTTCTTTAAAGTCTTTCTTCCTTCTTGGTGAATTTTGAATCAGCATTCTAATCCAGAGAAAATAAATGAATAGACATGGATTTTTAATTAGCTTTCATGGTACCAAACTTTCAAGGAATCAGAGATATGACAAATACCTAGAATAAAATAAAATGAAATTGCATTCTGAACATTCACTTCTAATGCACCAATGTGGGCTTGCAAGAAAAACATCAAGCCTTGTTAGACTTTCATAGAAAGCTTTTATTCTCTTTAAGGGCATTTGCTTATACAGGTTTCTTTGGGGGATTTATTGTTTGGGATTATGTCTTTTATTTTTCAGTGGTACACAAACAAGAAAAAAAAGAGAAAGAGAAAACAAACTCAGCAAAGAACATTTAAAAGAGTCCAAACTGTACTAAGTTTGAGATTATTTCAAATTCACCGCATCATCTGAAAACACTCATTAAAGTCTGCATTTAGGTCTGTGGAAAACTTGGTATGTGTTACCAAACAACAAATTATGTTTCCTAACTGATATAAGTAGCATTAGAAAGAGCACCATCTTTAAACACTCATTAAAACTCACTTTTGAAATTAGGTAATATCATATACTAAAAGAGCAAATTGCCAGAACCAATTTCAATTCGCTAAAATATTCTGGCAACAAAACCTGGTAGTTGGATGTTACACAGTATGATTTTTACCAAGGAAAGACCAACATACATAAGATATAATTCAAGTACAAAATGGAAGTGGGAGATCACTGTTCTATTCATGTAAAGTGTTCTGGTAAGTGATCTTTTAAATTAAATACTCAGGAACTGGACCAAACTTATTTTCATATAAATGAACAGAATCCAACATGAAATCCAGACACGCCTTTGAGGATTCTATGCAAATGAGGAAGACTCTAGCAAAAGTTACACCTTTTTATTCATAAATATTTGCATCACTTAGTTTTGAGTCAGATTGACAAGAGTTCATGTCATTTCTTTTGAGGACGATAGCAAAGGTGACAAGCATACTCTGTGATGCCCATCATTATGTTACTGCCAAGTCATCCACTAGAAGTTGGCCTTCTGTTAGTTACCAGAGGAGCAGGCAAAATATGGAAATCCAGTTTCCTTCCCATAAAACACAAATAGCCAGCACTTAAGGAACCTTTGGAAAGTAATCCATGTCCCAGTAATAAAAATAAAAGGAAAGTAATGACAACAGAAAGAAAGCATCCTTAGAAGATTAATATCATTCTATGCAGTTCTACAGCAGGCCTTGGATATTCTCTATGCTGGCTTAACAATGAAAGACACACATGTGGCATGGCTGTGACTTCCTGGTTGCATGCTTTAATTCAAACTAAAAGTTAACAGTGAAAAAAGTCAAACCTTGGGTCAAATGCTCTTTGGTTTAAGTCTTTACTATCTCCTATCATTTTGGTTTCCTTACTTGAATTTTAAATTAAGCTGGCCCTTCCATCTTCACCCCATTATAAAAGTCAATCACCAAGAACCAGACATAAATTTCAGAATGGTTTTGTTTGTAAGAATTGATGTTTCTAAGTCCAACCCCTTTATACAAACTGTTTTAGGGAAAAAAAAAAAAGATAGGAAAAAAAACAGGTGTTTTAACATAGTATTTTATTACAACTTAATCCCATCCTTGAATGATTTTCTTTCAAGTTTCAACCATTTTTTTTAAAGTAGTCAGTTTCCTGGTGGTTGCAATTTAATTAAGTAACCTTTCACACTGAGCAAAACCCCAAAGCAAAAGGGTCGTTAATCTTTCTAGTGATTAGACACACCGCTAGAGCCTCAAACATTTACCTCTCCTTCCCCGCAGTAGAAATGGTTTTAGGAGGATCACGGTTCATACCTCACACTCCCTGGAGCCAGAGATGGTATATGTGCAGGGACCAGATCCATTAACCGATATATCCATGGTCTCAGAGTTTGTCGGCTTGTAGTCCACGTAGTATTCCTGTAAAGGGGAATTCATTTGTCTCTCTGACTCCCTTGCCTTTTTCCGCCGCCTCTTCATAAGCGAGTGCTGTTGGAGTTGTTTCATACTGGCTGGGTACCTTTTCCAAGACACATAGATCACCAGGAGAATCATGGCTACCGAGAGGAACAGAGCCACACTCCCTGCGATGATTTTGTGAAATGACACGTGCTCGTATTCATGATCCGTCCCTGGAATCTGAAAGCCCGGGGATGGACTCGCTGACTCCAGGGTGGCTGGGATGGCATCAGGTTTGTAGATGGTAGGTTTGGGGATGAACGGGGGCTTCTGGGGAGTTTGAGGTGCCAGGTGTGATCTTTCTGTGTTGACCACCTGGACCTCAGAGCAGATGTTGTAAGTCTCCACAGCATCGCTGACCTTCTCGCCCTGTATGTGCTTAGGCCCTGCGCATATCATGGTACTTTCTTTATTCCCTTTGAAATTCTTCAGCCAGTAGAACAGAGGACAGATGCTCCGACTGCATTCCCACATGTTTCCAGACAAGGTGATGGATATTAAGGATATCCATGCATTCACGGTCTCCTGGGAGACGTTGGTGAGCTTGTTGGAATCCAAATTTAATTTTTGCAAATTGGGGAGGCATTTAAATGTGCCAGGCTCGATCGCTTGGATGTCATTCCCTGATAGATCCAAGGTGTGCAAGGAACTCCAGGTCCATGTTAGGCCTTGGCTCACAGAGCGGATCCGGTTCCACTGCAGGTAAATGGATCGCAGGTTGAAGAGGCGAGGAAAATGCGCAAAGTTGATCTTTGAAAACTGATTGTGCTCCAGATGGAGCTCCTTCAACTTCAGAAGACCAGCAAATGCATTTCGGGATAAGCTTCTGAGACGATTGTAACCCAAATCCAGAAAGTCAAGGTTCCGGCAGTCTTGAAAAACCCTTATGGGCACGGTCTTTAGGGAATTGGATCGCAAGTGCAAAATGATGAGTTTCCGGAGGCCTTTAAACTGCTCAGATTGCAAGGTTTGAAGTTTGTTGTAGGAGAGATCCAGGTTGCGGAGATTGGGGACTGGGTGAAATGTTTTATTGTGCAGATAGGTAATTTTGTTGGAGCTTAGAATTAATTCTTTCAGTCTGCGGATCCCTTGAAAGGCATCTTCATCCACTGAGCTAATGTAATTATGGTCAAGATAAAGCCATATAAGCTGGTTAAGGCCGGCAAACTGATTGGATTTGAGTTTCTGAATGCTGTTGAACCTTAAGGATAAACCTTGTGACCCTCCAGAAATGTTCTCAGGGATGTCTGCAAAGGCGTGAGACTCACAGTACACAATCTTGCCATCGCATCTGCAATTCTTCGGGCAAGCTCTCTGAGCCCCCGTCAGCATAACCAGCAGCAGGGTGGGAAATAGCACCAGAAACACACTCATGCCTTTCAGCTGCGTGATTAGACGGAAACCTACAATGGCAAAGAGAACACAGATGCACACTGTCAAAGAGTCACCATACAGCACTACTGGCACATCGGGATCAGGAGGGTCCGGTCTAGTGTAAGAATGAGATAGTTCATTTAAGAATACATTTCAACACTTAAATCTTTTTTTTTCCTCTAGAAAGCTCCATGCTTGCTTGCCGTTTAGATTTCATTCTTTCTTCCTTCATCTTCATAATATCACAGAGCTGTAGAACTGTGAAAAACCTCTCTGAGTTTCAAGAGTTCTACTCCATTCCAACCCTGAAAAACCCAGGACATTTCTTTTTCCTGAATGCTGACATTTGAATAACAATAACGTTTGGCTGTCACGGTATTGACCCATAGGACTACATTGCATCTTTCAGTACGGTCAGAAACATGACTTAGGAAACCTGGTTCTTGTACCTCTTTCCTAGTTGAGCAAATAGGCTGTGATTTAGCAAAAGAGCTTCCGGGATGCTGTCAAAGTAATCCAAGTTTGCTCTGCCTGAATTACCTACTGACTGCATACAAGGGTTGCAATCGCTGAGACCTGAAAAATGGCATAGGGGTATGCACAGACAGCCCACAAAACATGGTTCATAACAGTGTGAGGTCCCCTCAGTTGGTTAATAAGCATACATTATTGCATACCTTGGCCCCATGCCCAGAGATACACGAGCTAAGATACGTGATCACCCATACCACAGCCATCCCCAGCTCTAGCTAAGACGTCAAATTCTCATTCAAAATGTGCAGAATATAAACTAAGCATGTTATTAGATAGATTGCATGGGTTTTTTCCCTCTATATAATTGCCCTTGCAAATTTGAGAAATAAGCAAGGAAGACCACTATCTTCGCCCCAAGCATCCTGACCTGCTCAAGTCTCTCACTGACTGTTTTTTCATCTCTCCCCTGACTCCATTAACTTCAGAAAGCCTGCAAAGTTGCAATCTATTAGCATTTATGCCGCATTTTCAAGTCATTGCATGTGATGGGACTCCTCTCCACCTTCAACAGTAGGTATATTATTTCTTAATGGGGAAGAGACAGACAGAGAGACAGACAGACAGAGAGAGGGGCTACTGCAGGCTGCAATTTCTTTTCCTCTTTGGTAGTCATCTTTTAACCAAGAGTCAATCAGCCAATATCCTAGCCTAAAAATTCTCCCTCTCTAGAAGAGCTGTCTTTTTTTTTCTTTTGCCTCTTCTTCGTTTATTTATTTACTTATTTATTTAAAATTAACTTGATCTTGCACTCGATCTTCTACTCAGCTACAGACTCATTGAAATACAACCCAGCTCTCCCAGACAGGAGAAAGAGGGAGGGGGGAAAAAAAGAAGCCAGTCACACTCGAAAAAATAAAACTGGCAAATGACTACTGGAAATTTGGAAGCTGTATTCAGGATGCAGCTTCCGAGATCAAACAAGCCTCCGGGGCCACCTCTGATAAAGTAGGGACCCCACCCCTGCACACACACACAGCTAAGTGTTAACAGTGGTCCTGACAGCAACCTGAACACAAGCGTGGCTCATATTATCAGGGAACAGAAGCAAACACGGTATTTATTTCATGCTCCATTCCCAAGCTGTGGGTACGCAGACGCTAGAGACAGTCTTAAAGCTATCCCTCCAGAGTGTGTTTAAGTCCGCGTTATGCATTTATGGATTAAAAAAAAATAACTGCCAAAAGAAAAGGATCTAAAAATATAATAGCAACTCTAGTGAGACAACCGGTAAAGTGGAGGTTGCAGCTTTGTGCCTGTTTCCTGGGCTTTTAGCAGCAAATTCCCAGTTGAGGATGAGGGGTTAGGATCAGCTTTGCTAAGATGAAAACAACAAAAGTTCGCTTACCCATCCTTTGTCATCCAAAAAACGTCTGCCCCCCTCTCTCAGCTTTCTTCTTATTTGGTCTCTCCTGTAGAAATCACCACCACCTTCATGACACAGTGCAGCTGTCTTTCAAACCATTCTCAGCCCGCATGTGAGCCAGTAGCCCCATGTAAACTTCCCCGGAGAGGACAGGCAGGCAGACACACACACAAAAATAATATAGATATACATATACTTAAAAAAAATCAGCAGGGGTGGGATGAAGGGGCAGGAAAGAGGAAGCCGCTCGGGTGCGGGGGTCGGAGGGGGGAGGGCCTCTAGGCTCTGAGGACCATTGTATAATTCACTAGGGACACATTAGCAGTAAATTGGCAATCTGTGAAAAGAGCTACAGCCCATCTCGTAGGTAACCAACTTCTCTGTGGAAAAAGAGAGAGAGAGAGAGAAAGAGAGAAAGAAAGACACGGGAGAAGGGGGAAAAAGAAAAGAAAAGAAAAAAAAAGAAAGAAAGAAAATCCTCAGAATACCTGGCATTCCTTATTGTGCTGGCTTTTGCCATTCCCAGATAAAGCAATTCATCCTCAGGATTTTTCAGTTGTTGAAGCAAGCAGGCCGCCTGTGCTGTGTGAGACCCCAGTTTAAAAGCTATGCGGGCTAGGTTTATCCATTTAGCTGGTCAGGTTGAAAGTGTTTTGTAGCTGTGCTGAGAGGCAGCCCTTGTCTAATTCAGAAGGCTTTCCGGAGACTGATGGTGCTCAGAGCTGGTTGGTGCTAATGCTGGAGTTTGTGATACACTGAGTGCCCTCCGCTGGAGAAAACAGATTGCACATTAAAGACGGGAACAAGTGAGCTTGTCAGGGCTGTGCAGCCTTCTCTGCTCAGAAAGGGAAATTAAAGGCGCAGGATCACTTTTCCCCCCCCTCTCTCCAATAATATAAATTGTGAAAGGTTCCTGTCAGGGTTTATGCTTCACAGCTGCAGCAGATGTTAGCAACTTTCTTGCTCTCTCTCTCTCTCTCTCTCTCTCTCTCTCTCTCTCTCTCTCTCTCTCTCTCTCTCTCTCCCAACGTCTGTGATTAGTAGGTTTTGAAAGTTGTTATGGCCTGAAATGGTTTTCTGTGTGTCACAGATGATATTGTCTCATTTTCAATGACATGAGTAGTTCCTTTTGTATTTATGATTGTTGTTGGTTTGCCTTTATATTTTTTAAGATTGTGACATAAGGAAGATCTCCTACCCAGGAGAGGGCACAACATGGTTGATTTTTTAAAGTACTTAATTGTGTGAATTTTAAGTCTAATCCCTCCATTCTCAGCCTTTGTCAATAACATCTATTCTGTCTTCAATTTTGTACATTTATCAAGTGATTTATAATATGATTTTGTAAAATTTCATATATTTAGCCTTAATACTTTGTCAGATATACTATTTTACCACGTATCTGGGTACCCAAGACTGAACTCCAGACAGGAGCTGAATTAAGGCTTTTCAACTTTGTTGCTGTCAATTTGGGGATCAACTTTTTCTTATGCAAGTTATCTACTGTGTTGTGCAATCCATCCTGAAAGAAAGGAATGCTCCAGTCCTATGTGATCATGGCACTTCTCTAAAATTTGCAGGCTATCCTAAAATTAGGACTGACAAAATCATAAAATACTAGAGGTGAGTAATTTTTAAAAACCTATACACTTTTTTTTGTAAACTTCTATGGAATGCTTAAAAATGATAATAATACTTTACCTCTACTTAAAGAACTATTTTATGTGTATAGGTATTTTGCCTACATGTATGTTTATGCATCATGTGTGTGCTTGGTGCCTACAGAAGCCAGAAGAGGGCATGAGATCCACTTGGAACTGGAGCTATGGAAAGTCAAGTCTCCCTGTAGGTGCTGGGAATGGAGCCTGGATCCTCTCCAAGAGGAGTACATGGTCTTAACCACTGAGCCACCTCTCTGGCCCCATATGTCCATTGTTGTGTTCCCCAATTTTACTTATTTCATAATTACTTGACAGGTAATAATCCAAGAATATCTAGGATATCCCAATAAAATAAATGCAGTGTAATGCAGAGAGAGTCATCCAGGTAGGACTGCACATCTAATTTAGCAGCTTTGAGAACTTCAAAGGGATTTTATATAAATATCTACAACTGGTGTCCATCCTGGCAAACGGATGGCTTCAGAAATACTTTGTTTTTATATTGGATAATCAAATAGTATTTATTAAAATAGAATAAAGAGAAGAATAACACCCATAATTTGACTCAGATTTATGAGCAGAAGGTATCATACACTTATCTAATTACTAAGATTTCTCCAAGAACAAAAAAGAGATCTTCTGTCCCCTACATACATCCCTCCCATTAACTGATACCCAAGTTTCTATTTTAGAAATGTGTGCTTTTAGCTTAAAGCTTAATACCTGTTAAAAGGCAAATTCATACCATAAGAGGCAATGTTATTATGGGTACTGAAAAGAAATAAGTCAATCAATGAAAGTGATACTCTTATAATGTCTTCAAACTGTTGTAGTTCACACGGAGACACAAAACCCACCCATATATTCAATGGTGGTATACTGGCTAAGGGGAAAATATTGATTTGGAAAATAAAAAGGGCACTCTACCAGTAAAATTAAAAGAAAGTTTTTGATTGGCTAACTAGATATCATGTATAAAGTAGGGCAAGTAGAATTAGAAAACTCAAGTACTAGAAGAAAATGAGAAGCAGTGGGTTTATTTCCAGGAATATTTTCATTTGTGTGGGGGTAAAAAATGTTCAGAGCAGATTTCTGGTGGAAGATGGGAATAGGATGTATTTGATTTCATCTGCTGTGATATTTTGTCTGTATTTTCTAGTTTCTCATCTCATGAATATGTAGTTAGTCATGATGTTTATCTATCCACATATGTGTAAGTTTTCTTTTGTTTGAATCTACAATATGAGAACCCCTTTTGACAGTTGATTAGGAAAAAAATCTCATTTTTCGTGTGGTAATTAGCTGATAATTTGCTGAGAGTATGAAGATCTGTGGCTGGAGAGATGGCTTAGTAGTTAAAAGCACTTTCAGTTCTTGCAGAAGGCCTGAGTTCCTTTCCTGGCTATCAGGAAGCTCACCACCCCTCTACTCCATCCCCCTCAGCTAATTTCAGTTGCAGGGGAGTGCAGAGCCTCTGCCCTCCATAGGTACTCATGCTTATGTGCACTTCTACTCACAAATACACGTAGCTAAAAGTAAAGTAAATCTCTTGTTTTAAAAGTATTGAGCTCTAATAAATACTGGCAGGGCATGGTACATACACACTTGGAGGCATCACAATACTCAGGAGCCTAAAGGAAGAGTAGACAACCCTGGCCTATGAGAAAAAAAGGCGTTTGTCTTAAAAACAAAGTGAATGTTCCCTTAAGACCTAATAGATACTGCATTGCAAAGTTGGTGCCATATTCTATTCTTATTTTGTAAAAGATGTATTCAAAATGTAAAGATGTAACAAACATACTATGATGACATAAAGAGATACTGAGTAGGATGGAAGACATTGTATGAAAGATTTGTTTGAGAAAAGCCTGCCTAGGTTTTCCTTCTCCCAAGAATGAACATGTGTGCACTACACATGCACTACACACACACACACACACACACACACACACACACTTTGCTCAAGAGAAAATATTGATTTGTCACGTCCTTAGACCATTAAGCACAGAGAAAATAACCACTGTGGCCTCCTTTCTGTGTGCCCCACAGTGAACCCCCTTAGGAAATTGTATCTGATTCTTGCTGAGGAAAACCAAGAGAAGATTAATGGGTTTCCTAGAATTAAGGAAAGTTAGGTTGTATTGGACATATCTTTCATGTTAGGCATTTGGATAAAATCATGAATATGAACCTTCCATGAAAGAGAAGATGGCTAAGTATGAAGTCAACTTGAGTCCAGCTCAAACCCTCATAAGAGATGCAAGAGGATAAGTTTCACTGTTTACTTGGATAAAACAACAGACAAACAAACAAATAAATTAAAGACAAATGGAAGTCAACAAAGTATGGATACATACCAGAAAAATACAAAGGAGAGATGACATTTTTATTCATTAATGGCAGAGAGGCTGTTGATGAACTACCAATAAACTTAAGAACAAGAACTTTTCACTGTCTCCTAGGCTCACAGATCACAAATCTTTACAATAGTTTAAGTGATTCCAGTCATGGGAAGGTCAAAACAACAGCTGTAAGTGTAGAGGAAGAAATCAAGATAAGAAAATTAAAGACCTATTGTGTTGTTCTCAGGTAGATGCCTGTCTGCCATTGATGTGCAGTGAAGAATTCGGGAGGAAAGCACGCTTTCCTTATAGTATGTTGTCCAAGGCAGTTCTCAATCCCAATATGGCTCAAAAAGCCAAAAGATTGGAAGCCTCAGACAAAATATGGGATTTGACTCATAAATTGATCCTAACACTTTTGCCTACTGATGGGACTTCATGAGGAGCAAGGAGGATTCTTTTGTGTTACCTCAAATACCATTTAGTACCTGCAACTTGGAATTTGAAATTTTCCTTGACAGAAATACACAACACAGAAATCAACAAAGCCTATAACTCAATGTCTGATTTTTTTTTTGTGTGTGTGTGTGTCTAGACCTGAGAAAATGACAGAGAAAATACTAAGAAGAACATAAACTTAACATTGTATTGTATGTGTAGCTATGCAATTGCAAGCATTGCAAAAATGAGCAGGATTCTCATATGAGGAAAATACATTCTGATGGAGCAATGAAGTTCATCATTTTTAACAAAGTTTACCTAATGTGAAAAAAAATCAGATGGTGAGGGCTAGGAAGGTAGCTCAGTCAGTAAAGGAAGCTGCGCAAACATGAGGTATTGAGTAAGATCCCCAGCACTCATGTAGGTAGAGTCATGGTGACATAACCTAGTAATCCCAGAACTGGAAAGATGGAGACAGAAGATTAGAGGTGACTGTTGGCCAGAAAGCCACCCTACCCTAATCAGTGAGCAGAGCATGGAGTCTCAAAACATATCTCAGGAAAACAAGGTGGGCAGTTCCTGAGGAGCAACACCCATGGTTGACCTGTGTTCTCTACACACACTCACATGCATGTGTATACACTCACACATAAATACGCACATACTCAGACATTACTTTGGATAGCGTTACATTTGAAGAGCCAGGGTTGACTTCCTTTCTATCATGAATAGGACTTACATGTATCTAGCTCAGTACTCTAGTTGTACAACTTGTTTTAAGAAAAAAATTGCTCATTTTGGCCTCCTTTGAGAAATCTACTTCCCCTATCGCAAAAGTAGTGAAGGACTACAAGGTATGGGGAAGACAACTGGAAAACTAATGTGTACAGCACAGACTCCATTCAAACTCTGCAACTTCTGTGCCGATGTTTCCAACAATCCTAGAATATGCTTGCATTGGAATGCTCATTACTCTCAAAATTGTAATAACATTTGATTGTGACATGGGACATTTGTCTATTTGTACACTTCTGTTTTATATCGAGCATGAACCTGTCTAATTATAAATGATAAAAAGTGCTTTAAATGTGGATTAAATAATTAGTAAATTAGTTGGTCAAGTGCTCTGGCAACCATCAATAAGTCAATAAACCAAGAAGTTAGTTACTATTCGTAAATAGTCAATGTCACCTTCAAAATTTTCCTTCTTCCATAAGATATTACTTGTTCTCTCTGTTAAAGGTCAATATTGCTAAAATCTTAAAGATACATGTAAAAGATACCTCAACTCAAGCTGTTTGAAACGAAAATATTATTTAGATAGGTTCAATGAAGATTCCATAGTCAGATAGAGTGGCCCTAG